AGAAGACTCTTGAGAGTCCCTTGGACTGCAAGGAGATCCAACCAGTCCATCCTAAAGGAGATCAGTCCTGGGTGTTCATTGGAAGGACTGATGCTGAAGCTGAAACTTCAATACTTTGGCCACCTCATGCGAAGAGTTGACTCACTGGAAAAGACCCTGATGCTGGGAGGGATTGGGGCAGGACGAGAAGGGTACAACAGAGGATGAGATGGCTGGATGGCATCACCGACTCGATGGGCATGAGTTTGAGTAAACTGTGGGAGTTGGTGATGGACAGAAAGGCCTGGCGTGCTGTGATTCATGGGGTCGCAAAGAGTTGGACACGACTGAGCAACTGAACTGAATATTAATAAGGTTTGAAATTGTTACAATGAATGCATGCTACCTTTGAAATTCAAATAAAAGTAAAAAAAAAAGAATGGATAAGTACATTGTAGCACACTCATAACATGGAATCTCCTACACAACAATGAAAATGGATTGATGATTATTACATGAAAGATCTATGACAGAATTAAAACATTATTTTGAGCAGAAGTGAGACAATACATTCATAGAACAGATGCAACTAGAGCTTATCATACTAAGTGAAGTGAGTCCAAAAGAGAAAGACAAATATATGATATCCCTTAAATGTGAAATCTAAAATATGGCACAAACAAGCCTATCTCCAAAACAGAAACAGAATCACGGACATGGAGAACAGGTTTGTGGTTTCTAGCAGCTTACAGGAAAGGAGAGGAATGGACTGGGAGTTTGGGCATGTAAACTACTACATTTAGAATGGATAAACAGGGTCCTACTGTAGAGCACACGGAACTCTATTCAATATCCTGTGATAAACCATAATGGAAAAGAACAAAAAAAGAATGTCTGTAAATGTGACTCAGCAAATGAGTCACTTTGCCTTAGAGGGGAAATTGGCATAACACTGTAAACCAACTATTCTTCAATAAAAAAGAGTTTGGTAACAAAATAAATGTGCAGAACATTTAAAGATGGAAATAACTACTCTATATTGTTTAAGGATGTATTCATCTATGTCCAAACCGTGAAGAAAAGCAGTAATATTAAGATTATAAGAGTCATAATAGAGCTGACTTCTGGAAATTAGAAGTGGGTGTGATTAGGAAGATGGACATAGGGGTCTTTTGGGGTGCTGGGCATAGTCATTTCAGACCTGGTTATTGGTTTTTTGGATATTTCTGTATCACTTTTATTAAACTTTCCATATACGTTTTGCATAATGCCTGTGTTATACAAATAATGTTGTATTCCAAAATAACCGATGTTTAAAAATAAACAGCGGCTAATAACACTTACCCTATAGTCATCTGTGTGCATGTGCTTGTGCTTTGGAAAGATGTGTATAAGGTATTACTACAGGATTTGGAAATTTGTGCGTGCACAGTAAATATTAATTCTCTTCTTTCTTCACTAGTCTCACAGCCCTATTCCGCAGCGATATGGATTCAGGGTTGTGCAAAAACTCAGAATTAGTGACAATCATTGCCTGGACCGTTCCCATTTCTCCTCTCAGACCCGACAAAGGGCTTGCGAACCTGCAGCTCGCGTTCAAGGAGCTCATCCTCCTCAGAGAGTGAAGCTGCAGAGACTAAAGCTGTCTTGAATTTCTCCAACCTTCAGTCCAAGCGGACATAAACACCCCTCGCCCTGAAGAGTGCCTAGGACAGTAAATCCTTGCCACTGACTCTCTGAGCAGTCTTAACGCTTCTCATTTTGCCTGGGCTCTGGTGTAGAAATGGACTTTCTCTTTTTCTGCCGGAACTCTGCGATCCCAAGGTCTTTTCCCTGAGAGACACTAGACTTCCCTCCAAATGCAGAGGTGGAGAAAAAGGAATCTAGCAACATTCTTTTTTCTGAAGAGGAAAAACCTGGACCATGATAGAAGCCCTTCTAAATTCTCCCTGTGATTTGGCTAGAGTGCAGCGCATCCAACCCTAAACCAAAGAGACGTCAGAGATTAATTCCCAGATTGGAGAGCTCTGGTGCAGCCGTCGAGCACTTACTCGGAGCATCTCTGCAGTGAGCCCCAGGGATCCTCAGCACCAGGAACACAGCCATCACCACTCCAGCCACAGTCCCGGGGTTCCTGGGGACGGTCACCCTCATCTTTGCAGCCTTGAAACAGGAACGGTGGAAGAGAAGCTCTGGCAGTCACCGCAGCTGCCACCAATGGACCCGACGCTTCACTGTGCAGAGCAGGAAAATGAGGAAACCTGTGAACTTTAGGATTGGACAGTACCTAGGGGAAAGGCCAATCAATCCGATGACTTGGGATCTCATTTGTCTCTGGGTAAACACCTTCAAAGAAAGTTCTCCATTCAAAAATTACTCATGGACCGTTGATAGGCACTCATCACTAAGTCATCACCAAAACCCACTGAACTGGGTCGCTGATAACATGTTTGGAGAGTTCAGGAACCAGAAAAGCAAAGTGAATTGGTGTATTTCTCCTTGGGATATTTCTTCAGTTTTTCTGGTTCTCATATTCAGGGTTTGACTGTATGGAGGTGGAAAGAAATGAAATNATGAGAGCATAAACTGTTCATTTCTGTAGGCAGTAGAGCAATATCTATATTTGATGTAAATGATATGTATACACATTTACATGCATAAGTAATATATATTTCTATAATTTGATATATTTACTATATATAATGTGTGTGCACATACATATAAAACATAAATATAAAATCTTTACAGCTTCAGATCCAATGATCTCATTTCTCTTTCTTTATCCTAAAGAAATGTAAGCAAGCGCTAAAGAATTCATACAGAAGAACTTCCACTGCAGCACTGTTATGTAAGAGATTTTTAAAAAATGAGACAAACTGAATATCTGTTAATAAGGACTTGCAAACAAATAATGATACATTCATACTTTCATATAAGAAATATTATGCCACCACTGAAAATTATAATGTAGAGTTATTTGACATGCTATAGAATAAAATAAGTCTTTTTATTTACAAAAATTACTTCCTCTGGAAGTTCATCCCTTACTCCTTAGGCTAAGTTAAATTCCTTGCAATATGCCTAGGCCTAGTGCCCTGGACTTCCATATGACAACACCAACTTTTCTTGAAAAGTCTTGTTGAATACCTATCTTTACATTTAGTAAGTTTTGGACAGGGTGGCTTATACCTTCATCTCAGTTCTTAGAACTGTGCATATTAGATTCAATTAAATGGATGCAACTTTAATAGCATATTTCCATTTATATAAAACATGTGTGCCTATTTGTGTATATGCATAGAGAGATGCTTAGAAAGGATAGTCACTAAACATAAGCAAGGCTATCTCTGGTTTTAGTAATTACACTACTTTCTTTTTTATACTCTTTTATGGTATATAAACCTTTAAATTAGCTATTTTCCACAAAACAATTAAAACCATTTCATTCTCTTTTACATAATTATCAAAATTTTTGATGCTATAAATGATAGTGCTTTTCTCATAATAAAATATATTTAGTGTGACAACGTTTAGTACAATCCAACACATTTTCCATTTTCTCCCACACATGCAGCGACTTGATATCAGACCAAAACAATGACTCCAGGAAATAAGAAGTACTGCTAAACCACTTCTCCTCTGTCATTGTCACAGCCAGCTTAAGAGATTCCTTGAGTTGGCTGCTAAGCCAACAAGGGGGTGGGTAGATCACCATGTGTTCTTTATTGAAAGTGTATGTCTTTAAGATTCCAACAGAAATCTAAACCCAGAAGCTCTGCCTCTCTCTCTCTCACCTGTTCTATGCTCACACCTAAAAAGTAGAATTGAAATAGCTATCTCACAGCTAGTTGGGATAAGCTAGATTATGCTTCTGCAACAACTCCAAAATTCTAAAGACTTAAAATGATACATCTGTCACATGTTGGCTAGCCCCCCCTGCATCTTAATTACTCCAGTTCAAGAATAATGGAACAAGCTCTATCTGGAGTGTTGCTTCTACCCATGAGAGATGGATAGAGAGAGGTGGAATACTGCATCCAAATATTAAAAACCCTCCCCAGAAGTAACACTGTGTCCCGCTTAGGTGCCCAGTCATGTCCAACTCTTTGCGACCCCATGGACTGCAGCCTGGGCTCCTCTGCCCATGGGAATTCACCAAGCAAAATACTGGAGTGGGTTGCCGTATCCTCTTCCAGGGGATCTTCCCAACCCAGGCATTGAACCCAGGCCTCCCATATTGCAGGCAGATTCTTTACCATCTGAGCTACCAGGTGAGCAACATTATTAACATTATTCTACTCATATTTTACTGGTCAAAATCTTCAATGTACTCGAATGAAGAACCAAAAGTATTAATATATGTTTTCTGTCAATAACTATCACAGTAGCACAGCCTTCTACACACTTAAGCTAATTTTAATTCACCACCTTATTTCTAGGTTATGTGAACTATGCAGTCATTATAATAGTTCTCTGAATGCTTACTCTGTGGTTTCCAGGCTATGCTATCTTCTAAGAATACGGGCTATATAGATGCACAGACTTTTAGTAATACTTGCTTCATCACATATGATCAAAAGACTTCATACATCTTTTCAAAGCATTGAGAGTACTAGGTTATAAACGCAAAGTTGTAAAAGAAACTTAAAAGCCTCTGCTTTGTGTTTTTCTTTCAAGTGAAACTGCCAAGAGAATGGACCAAAGCATAGGGCAAAGAGGTCTGAGTCAGAATTACACATACTGAACGTAGAGAACTAAAAAATACCAAGAGCCAAAAAGTCCATTTCTGGCAGATGTGGGTGATGGAGCAAAATCTGTGCAGTCCTTTGTGGTGGCCCCCACATTCTCACTGGAGCTGAAAACCAGTCTTCACAGCCGTTGTACATCTGGTGCATCAAATGCAGAGAGTGAGGGACCATGTCCTCAATGGAGTTTTGAGGAACAAAACGCTGAAATATGACTGAACATTTCCTTCTGGCTCCAGATCAGGCCCATACCATAGACCTGGGGGAATCCTGCTTGGTCCCTCCCTTGGGCTGGAGGCTCCATTGTAAGAATAGAGCAGCCCCCATGTCAGCCTGTGAAAATTCTGTTGTCCAGTGAAAACTTCTGCTAGATCAGTGAATAAGCCCTTATGTGTGGGTGGTAGGCCACTTCCCCAAGAGGCTGGTACACATCTTCTGTTTGAAGTGTGATGTGGCAGAGTCTCGCTTACTGCACCACCAGAGACGTCCCCAGCCTTTGTTCATACACTTTTCGATGACGGCCACACTGATCAGTGTGAGGTGATACTTCATTGTAGTTTTGATTTGCAATTCTCTGATAATTAATGATGATGAACATCTTGTCATGTGCTTTTTGGCCATCCTTATGTCCTCTTTGGAGCAAGAAAATATTTTTATTCTGGGTGAAGTGCTTGTAATGATCCTGTTGGGCAACAAGTATAGACAGAGGGGCTTTCCTGATGATTCAGATGATAAAGAATCTGCCTACCATGTGGGAGACCCAGGTCAGGAAGATCCCCTGGAGGAGGGATTGGCTATCCACTCCAGTGCTCTTGTCTAGAGAGTTCCATGGACAGAGGAGCCTGGCGGGCCATAGTCCATGGGGTTGCAAAGAGTCAGACACGACTGAGCAACTAACACACTTTCATAAACAGATGTGGACCTGGAAATAAAGACTGAGAAGGAAAAGCAGTGGATCTGGACTGGAGAAGTGGAGAACAGTCAAGAGAGATTTCTCTGGTGAGCACATCTGTGAAAGGCCAGTTCTCTCGGTTTCGGAAGTTTGTTGAAGACAAACACTAACTTCTTTTGCCAGCATCTCAGAATCTTTGCTCTATGGATAGACTTCAGTGTCAACCTCAGAATCTTCTCCTATCAGAGAACCCAAAGTCTTATTTTGTATCTAATCTGGAACCAAGAATTATGATGAAATTGTTCTGTGATTTTAGTTATGCCAACCTCAACAATCTTAAATATTCTCCAATGCACTATCTCCTTTATCGGTGATTTAGTCATTAAGTCGTGATCTCCTTCATTAGCAGCTAATTAATCAATTTTTTGATTAATTTTTTGAATCAATATTTTTTGCACATTTCTCACCATCTTTGGGCAACCAGTTGCATTAATTTTGCCGGTGACATCTAAAGAACTCTTCTGTCATACATTCTCTCTTTCAAATTATAAAGTGAAAGTAAAATGGGGTATTCTCTTTTTCACTTTGCAGAAACTAATGAAGAAGCTGAATTAGTATATGTGTGATGTTTCCAAATTTGTAAAAATTGATATACGCCCTAGAGGCCAGTTGTTATGAATAGTAATGGACAGGCTATGTACTAGAGAACTGTGTGTGTTACTTTTACTAGAATAGATATGGTTCCCATTTTTTATATGACTATCAAAAAGAGAAATGTGTTTCTTTTCTAATCTCATCGGTGTGCCTGAATTTTTTGACTTCCTACTTTCACTGAATCAACATTTATTGAGTTGCTCTGTTCTAGGCACTGGGAATCCATCAGTGGTGGGGAAGAAGAAAGAATTCCTAGTCTCCTGAAGCTCAGTTCTAGCAGGACTGCCTGCATTATACTCTGAAAAATGCGTGGATTGAACTAGATCATCTCTACTGTCCCTTCTAGGCCTTAGAGCCTGTGATGAGGTGACATCTCGTGGTGACTGGGGAGCTGGTCAGTGCCTGAGGCCACAGAACAGTCAGTTTGCCAAATGGACTTGCTTTTGTTGACTCAAGTTATAATAAACCAGATTTGGGTTTGTATCTACATGATCCTTTTATAGAATATTAAATTCAATGTGTCTTTCACCCAGATCTGTATCGATACAGCTGCAGACTTCCTCTGTAAGGTCTGTGACAGTAATAACTAAGAACAGAGGCCTAAGGAGGGAAGGTCGGATACAGGCAGTGAGGGGACAGAAGCACAGGGCTTCTCTGGCTGGACTGGAAAGCACCTCATCACCTCTTCTCCCTCCCCTGAGTTTCCATGTCCCCCATTGCTCCGTTCAGAGCCTTGCAGACCGAGGTAATGTGAGAAAAAGGAGATGTGGAGGCTAGTGTGGAAATCCCCTTAGAAAATGTCAGATTTCCATGGGGATTCCCTCCAAGAACTTGGAGAGTTCAGTTCAGTTCAGTCGCTCAGTTGTGTCTGACTCTTTGCGACCCCATGGACTGCAGCACATCAGGCCTCCCTGTCCATCACCAACTGCCAGAGCTTGCTCAAACTCACGTCCATTGAGTCAGTGGTGCCATCCAAACATCTCATCCTCTGTCGTCCCCTTCCCTCCTGCCCCCAATCCCTCCCAGCATCAGGGTCTTTTCCAGTGAGTCAGTTCTTCGTATCAGGTGGCCTAAGTATTGGAGCTTCAGCTTCAGCATCAGTCCTTCCAATGATTATGTAAGACTGATTTCCTTTAGGATGGACTGGTTGGATCTGCTTGCAGTCCAAAGGACTCTCAAGAGTCTTCTCCAACACCACAGTTCAAGAACATCAATTCTTTGGTGCTCAGCTTTCTTTATAGTCCAACTCTCACATCCATACATGACTATTGGAAAAACCATAGCCTTGACTAGACAGACCTTTGTTGGCAAAGTAATGGCTCTGTTTTTTAATATACTGCCTAGGTTGGTCATAACTTTTCTTCCAAGGAGCAAGTGTCTTTTAATTTCATGGCTGCAGTCACCATCTTCAGTGATTTTGGAGCCCCAAAAAATAAAGTCAGCCACTGTTTCCACTGTTTCCCCATCTATCTGCCATGAAGTGATGGGACTGGATGCCATGATCTTTGTTTTCTGAATGTTGAGCTTTAAGCCAACTTTTTCACTCTCCTCTTTCACTTTCACCAAGAGGCTTTTTAGTTCTTCTGCTATTTTCTGCCATCTGCATATCTGAGGTTATTGATATTTCTCTTGGCAATCATGATTCCAGCTTGTGCTTCATCCAGCCCAGCATTTCTCATGATGCACTCTGCATATAAGTTAAATAAGCAGGGTGACAATATACAGCCTTGATGTACTCCTTTTCCTATCTGGAACCAGTCTGCTGTTCCATGTCCAGTTCTACCTGTTGCTTCCTGACCTGCATACAGCTTTCTCAAGAAGCAGGTCAGGTGGTCTGGTATTCCCATCTTTTTAAGAATTTTCCAGAGTTTGTTGTGATCCACACAGTCAAAGGCTTTGGCATAGTCAATAAAGCAGAAGTAGATAATTTTCTGGAACTCTGTTGCTTTTTCAATGATCCAACAGATGTTGGCAATTTGATCTCTGGTTCCTCCACCCTTTCTAAATCCAGCTTGAACATCTAGAAGTTCACGGTTCATGTACTGTTGAAGCCTGGCTTGGAGAATTTTGAGCATTACTTTACTAACGTGTGAGATGAGTGCAATTGTGTGATAGTTTGAGCATTCCTTGGCACTGCCTTTCTTTGGGATTGAAATGAAAACTGACCCTTTCCAGTCCTGTGGCCACTGCTGAGTTTTCCAAATCTGCTGGCATATTGAGTGCAGAACTTTCACAGCATCATCTTTTAGGAGTTGAAATAGCGCAACTGGAATTCCATCACCTCCACTAGCTTTGTTCATAGTGATGCTTCCTAAGGCCCACTTGAATTCTTGTTCTAGAATGTCTGGCTCTAGGTTGGGATCACACCATCATGATTATCTGGGTCATGAAGATCTTTTTTGTATAGTTCTTCTGTGTATTCTTGCCACCTCCTCTTAATATCTTTTGCTTCTGTTAGGTTCATACCATTTCTGTCCTTTATTGCCCATCTTTGCATAAAATGTTCCCTTGGTATCTCTAATTTTCTTGAAAAGATATCTAGTCTTTCCCATTCTCCTCTATTTCTTTGCATTGATCACTGAGGAAGGCTTTCTTCTTGCTTTCTCTCCTTGCTCTTCTTTGGATTCAGATGGGTATATCTTTCCTTTTCTCCTTTGCCTTTCTCTTCTCTTCTATTCACAGCTATTTGTAAGGCCTCCTCAGACAACCATTTTGCCTTTTTGCATTTCTTGAACTTGGAGAAAACCAACTTAAAAGTCCACCACGATCGCCATCTGGCTGTAGAAGTACCATATCACACTTCAGAGCAGCGACCCATGGTTGCCTAAGCAAAGACAACTAGGGTTTAAGATGATTACATTTCTGAACTTTTCTCAACAGAAATTTTATCTGATGGCTAATCTAGCATTGTGACCATTTCCCTCACCTGGACGTGAAACCTAGGCTTCTTTCAGCTCATCCTTGGTTTGCCAAGGATGCTACGGTTAAGATTGTTCTGTCCCCAAAAGCCCAGCCACATAAGACCCATGACTGCCTCTCTCACCTTACCTTCCCCTCCCAAGCACACTCTGGAGCCCAGTCCTAACAGGTCACCATTAAAATCCTTGAGTTTATGAGACTACAAAAATTACTTGAACTTGGACAATAGTAAATCAAGGGAAATAATTCAACTTTGATCTTGTCTTTCCACCAGTACCATGTGGCAAGACACTCCTCAGTGAAGGGAAGGATCTCTTTACAGAAACAACAGTGTATGTAAATGAAGAAGGGATGATAGAATTAGTGCATTCCCTATCTACAATCAGTTCAGTCAGTTCAGTCGATCAGTTGTGTCTGACTCTTTGCGACCCCATGGACTGCAGCACGCCAGGCCTCCCTGTCCATCACCAACTCCAGGAGCTTGCTCATTTCTACATTTCCCAGGGATTTAACTGACCCAGGCAATGGTTCCTAACATTACTGAGAGACAAGCAGTGTGTGTGTCTCATGGTGAGATCACAGCTCCACCTATGGACGTTTCAGAGGAATGACATCTAAGTCTAATCCAACCACTTCAAACAGATGCCGATTTGCAAAACCGGCGGAGAACAGAGGAACATGGCAATCGGCACCGGGTGATTCAGTCAGCAAATCCAGGCTGCAGAGAACTGTGCAGGCCAATAGCTCAGGAATGTCACTGTACTAATCATAAGGAACAAAAAGGGGTGGAGGACAAAACTGTAAATGTGAATAAACATAAATGACAACTAAATAAAAAGGAACACATTTGACTCAGTTCTAATAAGGTGGATGAACCTAGAGCTTATTATGCCAAGTGAAGTAAGTCAGAAAGAGAAAGACAAATATCATATATTAACGTACTTATATGGAATCCGGAACCATCGGTTCTCATGGTACTGATGAAGCCTATTTGCAGGGCAGCAATGCAGGCACAGACACAGCAGGGGAAGGAGAGGGTGGGATGAGCTGAGACAGCAGCACTGAAATATGTGCATCACCATGTGGAAAATCAGAGAGCCGGGGGAATTTGCTGTTTGACCCGGGAGCTCAAATCAGGGCTCTGTGACGACCTAGGGAGGTGGGATGGAGCGGGGGGTGGGAGGGAGGTTCATGAGGGAGCGGACATAACTACACTCATGGCTGATTCATGCTGATATATGGCAGAGACCAACACAATATTATAAAGCAAGTATCCAGTTAAAAATAAAGACATTTAAATTTTTTAAAAGACTCCTAAGCTAGAGTGTCCAATAGTTTACACTTGAGTAAATAAGACCACAAAGAAATTTTTTAAAATAGTTGATATAATGGTCCAGATATGATTATTTTTTCTTTTTTAAAAAAGATTTAATTTGCTCTTTTAAAATATTTATTTATTCATTTGACTGCGATGGGTCTTAGCTGTGGTTCACAGGATCTTGTTCAGTTGTGGTGTGCAAACTCTTAGTTGCGGCATGTGGGATCCAGTTCCCCGACCAGGGCTTGAATCCAGGCCCCTGCACTGGGAGCACAGAGTCTTAGACACTGGACCAGCAGGGAAGTCCCATGGTTACTTTTGCAAATTTTATTGAGTTATAGTTTGATGTACAACATTGTGTTAATTTCTACTGCACAGCCAAGTGATTCATCTGTATATGTGTGTCACACACACTTTTTCATATTCTTTTCCATCATCGTTTATCCTAGGATACTGAATATAGTTCCCTGTGCTAAAGAATAAGACCTTTTTGTTCCTCCATCCTGTGTATAATAGTTGGCAAACATATAATTCCTTTTGAGAGGAGGGAGGAGGAGCTTTGATGGGCCCACAGCAGAGAGAATTCTGCAGCGGCTGGAAAAGGTCTAGTTCTTGAACTGGGTGTTGATTACAAGGGTTTTGATTTAAGTCATGTATTAAATTACACATTTTATGTGGTTGTTGGTATCTCGGTTTTATTTTAAAGGAAAAAAAAGACTTTAAAAATCAATGAAAATGGGACTTCTCTGATGCTCCAGGATTATGATTCTTCACTCCCACTGCAGGGGGCACAGGTTTGATCCCTGGTCACGGCGCTTGAGATCCCGCAGGCCTCACAGTGTGGCCAAAAACAAACAGAAAACAATGAAAAGGAAGCAGTGACTATCTGAATACTTGAGTTCTGAAGACTGTGGGGCTGCCTTTGGAGGAGAGAAAGTTGAAGACCACGACTCAAATAGTTAGGGCTGGACCATCTGGGGCTGGAAGGAGCTAAGTCTTGGGGGAATTTCTGGGCAGTGTCCTCGGAAACAAGGACTCATGTAGACAAGGAGGAGGACGAAGGGCAGGAGGGTGAGAGATGTGTGATCTCAGAAGGCAGCCCTCCAGAGTTAGTTAAGGACTCCTCCAAGGTCTCACAGAATGAGTCACCCCGAACATTGACCTCACAGCATCCCTCACTTGGTCCAGGGCCACCTGATCGCTCTTCAGGCCCTCGGGGGAGAAGCATCAGTTAGAACCTAGTGCGACTGTGGCGGAAGCACTGCTCTTGGGACCTGCAGGGACAGCGATAAAGTCTCGTGAGGTCCCCACCCTCCTGGGCAAGGACTCAGCCAACAGCGCACCCAGCCAGAACCACTTACACCTTATCCCTCCCTCTGCCAAAGGCTGAGTGACTGATCTGGGACCCAAAGATAAGGAAGAAGACATTACCTCATTGCCAAGCAACGGAGTCACCACACGTCCTGGAATGAAAAAAAAAAGAAGGAAGAAATAGAATGCATCAATTAGGATCAAAAGTGATTATACTGAGTGGTGGGAGATGACCCACAATATCAGAACTCCATCTCTAATTACCCCCTGGAGAATGTTTCTGGCTTCATAAATGACTATCCCAGTGATCCCTGAGAAGTATGGTCAGCCTTCCCCTGTCACACATCTTAGACGTTAGGAAAAGTGGAAAGTGGGGGAAGCTGGAGGATAGGTGGCAGGGTGCTCCTCAAAACTTATTACCTTTCCGGGCTCTGATGTGGATGACAATTCCCACCAAAAAGAAGACTAGCCCGACCAGGAAGGCTGCAGCTCCACCCAGCATCTTTCTCCAAGAATATTCAGGCTGAGCTCCTAAGGGAAACAGGTCTCAAAGTTGGCCAAAAGCTCCCAATGTTTGGTGCTCCCTCCTGAAACTCCATCCATCTGCAATGCAGAAGACCCCGGTTCAATCCCTGAGTCAGGAAAATCCCCTGGAGGGGGGCATAGTGACCCACTCCAGTAATCTTGCCTGGGAAATCCCATGGACAGAGGAGCCTGGCTGCTACAGTCCATGGGGTCCCAAAGAGTGGAACATGACTGAGCAACTAACATTTTCTCCTGAAATCCCAGGGCCTGTGCTGGACAGCAATAAGTGCTGTCCAGAGAAAGAATACATCTTTGGGTCCAAGGTTTGTACTCATGGAGTTTCTGTTAATGATTCTGATGGCCAAAAAGAATGCCCCCCTAAATGCCAAGGTCAAAGTACCAAAGGATGCAAGTTCCCAAAACCAGAAGTGAGTGACAAGGTGATTAGACCTCCTTATTTCCTGGAAGATCCAAGGATAGCTATCTGCCATGGTTTTTCCCCACCCAACGACCCCAATCTCTAGGACTGCTTCAGGTCAGAGCGAGGAACTAGTGCTGTGGCCAAGATGAATGCGGAGGTAACACACGCCCCGTTCCGAGTCAGATTGACTCAAGTTGGGTCCAGAAAGTACAAGCTGGTTCTCACTCCACTCCACAGAAACAGGGCTCGGCAAGCTGGGATGGTTGACACGGCAGGTGTAGACCTCCCCAAGCTCAGGCATCATGGCCAGCATCACCGTCGTCTGAAAGGTCCAGTCTCCATTCCTGATGAGGCCAGTGGACATGACCCCCTCTCTCTGTTCCTGCCCATTCCGGAACCAGGTGACCTCGATGTCCCCTGGGTAGAAACCCGTCACCAAGCAAAGCAGCAGACTGTGGTGCTGCAGGGCTGGGGCCTTCTCCGGATACACTGCCACCTCTGGCTGTACTAGGAGAGGAGAGAAAAAGCGAGAGGCGGTGAAGGGAGTCCACAGGGCCAACGCCACCGTGCCTTCAGGGGCTGTCTCTGCCCTGAATCTCTTTCCCAGATCAGCCACATGGCAACCGGAAATGTGGGGAAAGCTCACCCCCAGGACTCAGACACTGGAAATGCCAGCGCCCCCAAGGAGGATGCAGGCTTTATCAGACACACCCACAGTTTTCCTTGTGTTCGGGAAGACACTAGCCCTGGTATCTGGGACCAAGACCACAGTGACCTGACCCCTGAGGACAGTAAGTGAGTCATAACTGGGGACAGATCATATAAAGTCTCCCCTGCACCTGACCCTGATAGATATCCTGAAGCAGGAAACTGCCCAGGACAAGGAAGAAGAGCCACGCCCAGGCTCCCACCAAGGAGACCCCAACTTCCGCCTCACCTCTCCTCCCCACGGTGAAGGGTGCGCCCAGCTTGTAGTTGCGTCTGCAGAGCATGTCCACAGAGGCTCTGCTCCTCGCCAGTATATCCGGCCGACTGTTCCACAGCTCAGCGTCAGGCTTCCCCAGCTCCGTCAAGGCCACAAACATCCCCAAGTCGCTGTCGAAACGTGCATACTCCTCCAGGTTAAAGATGAATCTGACCACAAACCGCACCTTCTCTGTCCCATTGGTGAAGTAACAGTCAGCCTTTGCCTGGGTCACAAAATCTTCTGGAAAACCAAAAAAAGACTATGAACCAGCCCCCATCTTTAGAACACCCATACCTGGTATATTACGATGGACCATGTGGATTGGAGAGGAGGGCTTTGACCTCAGTAAATCTGACGAAGTAGCTTCTGCTCCTCTGGGCCCCACCCTGGTTCCTCTTAGCAAAGGGACATCCATTCTTTAAAAAAGAAGTGGTACACATATACAATGGAATATTCAGTTCAGTTCAGTTGCTCAGTCACGTCCAACTCTTTGCAACCCCATGAACCGCAGCACGCCAGGCCTCCCTGTCCATCACCAACTCCCGGAGTCCACCCAAACCCATGTCCATTGAGTCGGTGATGCCATCCAACCATCTCATCCTCTGTCATCCCCTTCTCCTCCTG